GGAGAAAAAAAAAAAATTGCAAGAGATGAGGTGCACCTAGGTGCGTGAAGTTCTTCCCCCCAGGAAAGAGACTATCAGTTGATGAGAAGCAGGTAGCAACACAATGCCTCTAAGGGAGACCAATCAGTTGGGAGTAGTAGTCTCTACATTGTCCAGCGTAGGGAATAGGCCATTCGTCTTGACACAGGAAGGCCTCCCAAATCTTCCTGGAGGTCTTTCAACAACTAGGTGATGTCGAACAGGGCCCACGTCAAGGAAACTCACATTAGGATGCCTTGAAAAAACAAACAGTCACCAACTGTTCCAGGGAACCAGAATGAAGCCACAGGCATGGGGCACCCCTGAAAGTGGAGTACCTACATAACGGGGATTGGAGGAGACTACCTAAATGGACTGCCAAACCAAGCCAGGAATTTCTTGGTTCATAGAGACCATCAGGGAGTCTTGCCCTAAGTCCAGACTTCCAGATACCAAGGGGGGTGCTTGTAAGAGACCGAAAGTCAACAAGAGAAGGAGAGACCAAGACATGAGGGTGTTCCCATAACTTCCCTTCCTCTCCCTTTTAGGCCTGGTAGGGAATATCCCCAACAGGACAGGAAGAGGGCATGGATCCGTAGGATGTGGACTTCCTCCGCAAGGGTTTTAGCTGAACAGTCTAGTCCATTGGTGAGAAACAGTCATCACCCCTAGACACTGGTGAGGCCCCATATAGCTGATGTTTATGCGTCTCGAGTCCTTCCATAGAGTTCTGAGAACAAGAGTCCACAAAATGGACCCTCCAAAGGGAGCAGTAGAAACTGGTCCTGGCTGACTTAGCAAGTCAAAGAATCAAAGATAGGGAATGCTGAGCGGTACCAACAACTACAAGCGAAGCAGTAGAATGTAAAATTCTCCTAAAGAGGGTAATGACATCGCAGATGGGAAACAATTCCAGGGACCAAAGTTCTCACTTGCATGGTAACTGCAGTAGGGGTGGGGGGGTTTTCACGGTGCAGGAACCCAGGTAGACGCCCCTTGCAAGGAGGGAGATGAGAAGATATGACACTTAAGTAGTAATCCAATGGGCCATAAAGGGTGTGCTGGGTACCCAAATATCATTGTGGGGGGGGGGGG